TTTTCTGGCGCCCAACAATGCAGAATTTCATTTGATAAACACGTTTAGATTGAATGGTAATTTATAATCAGTCACAAGAACGTCGAATCTGAATCACTTGAAAAAAACACGGGGGTGCTTAACTTTTTTCCAGGTGTATATATAATATGTCTAAAAAAACTAATTTCATTTAAAAAACACTACGTTTCGCTAGGTTCACTTACCATCGTCGGGTGGATACAGTTGAATGATCGAATGAAACCCATACATATTGCAGTATCAAGAGCGATATTACATCGCTAGGCAACAAAGTAAACGCAAATCAAACACAAGTGGCAAATAGTGAATATTAAAATGAATATAATTTTACACCTGAATATTGGTTAATGTCGGTTTTTTTTTATCTTTAAATAAAGAGAGCTTCTTTGTTTTTCTTTTATTTATATTGTTTTTTCTGTCTCAGCATTCGGAAAAACAAACGAGTGTTTATTTTGAGCCATGTGCTCAAATACAAGGGTTTCTCCAATGTAAGAATTACCAGTCTTTTGTGGTAAATTAATACTTTGAGTTAGTAAACACAAATATTTCTATGATAATGTTGCTCATAAAAATTATCATTATTTCGCAACAAAACGCATTCTTATAAGCTCTGTATTTTTTGTTTAACAACAAATCTGGGAACATGTGTTTCAGGAAATGCAGACAACACCTACAGGTAGTAATTTCCAATAGCGGATCGGTCCACATGACCCGGTGATCAAATCATATATCACGTGTATAGATATAACTCAGAGGGCTCGGTGGAGCCCACCATCCGTTGATTCCCCTTTTGAAAAGTGTAATATTTACCAATGCCAACTCATTATCTCGTTCTGTAATGTTTTTACAACCTCAAAATTCGTATGCAGTAAATCTACACGTATATTAAGACTTAATACATAACCAAATCATTTTCCTACGCATAAATATAAAAGAGCATATAAGCAGTAAAGAAAAACTACGACAAGGTAGTAGATATATAATGATAATTTTTGCAATGGTTTCTTTGTTTGTAATTAAGCATAAAGCTACACAATGGGCTAGCTGTGCTCTGCCCACCACGGGTATCGAAACCCGGATTCTAGCGTTGTAAGTCCGCAGACATACCGCTGTGCCATTGGGGGTCTTTTGTAATGGAATTATCAAGGTTTTAATTTGTGCTGCCAAAAAAATTAATCAACCAAAGTTTCGCTGGGAAAAAGTGTTTAAATACAAAGCACATTACTTGGATTTATATAAAGCTATCTTTAATCAAACGTTGATGTTAAAAACGAATAAGATATTCACTTTTAATTTTGAAATTATAAACTGATCATTTACGAACACAAATATTACAAATAAGTTATTCTACGATGTTTACTACTGACTTATTAAGTGTAAGATAATTTTTCGACATTACAAGCTTTCGTGGACAGAGTTCATACGTTAAAATCATAAATAATATTCAACGTTAAAATTGGTACACAATTAAAAACATTTTATTTAGGCCCATCTATGGCCTTCAAAACGTTGACGACTCTACGTGTTTCGACGTTGCAACGTCATCCTCAAGAGTGCCAAAATACAATAATTAGAGTTCATAAGCTTATTCTCAGTTTTGATGAACAAGGTTTCTCCTCCAGTTTTGTGGTAAAACAACCGATAATGAGATTAATAAATTAATAATTTTACAAGATATCACAACCTTTTTAAAACTATCACGTCTATTCTTTAATTTCTTAACTATCTTTAAAGTAATTAATAATAATAATGGCTGGAGACGGCTTGAATGGGTAATGAAGAAAAACTTATATTAAAGTTTTCTTCATTACCCATTCAAGCCGTCTCCAGCCATTATTAGTCTCAAAGTGGGTTCCTCGTCATCGAATTTAATTAATAATAACTTTACTATGACGGCAGTCATTTGTTTTATCTTCCGTTAGTTTAAGTTCTCACGAATGTAAGTAACATATCAGTATGTTATTTAGTACAACGTTACTCCCTATGGTGGCTCAGCGACAAGTCTGAGGGCTAATAGCGCTAAAACTTGGGTTTTGATACCCGCGGTGGACAGAGCACAGATAACTCATTGTGTATCTTTGTGCCTAACAACAAACAAAATGTAGCACCATATTACACCAATAATTAAATACATTAGTTTCTGTTAATTACTTCAGTTGTCACATTTACCATTGTTGTTACTTTTTTTTAAGTCTTATTAATACAGTGCTTTTTCTTGTACTTTATTATCGCTTACACAGCCTATAGTTCTTAACGTTTAACTTTATTTATTGCTACCTATTCTCCTCTCTGTGAATTCAACATTTATAAAGGGGATACGATTGTCACATTATATTGCTCCCACGGCTGAAAGGGCGAGCATGTTCAGTGACGAGATTCGAATCCGCGACCCACAGATTGCGAGTCGAGTGCCCTAACCACCAGGCTATGCCAGGCCGCGTCCTAATTTATATCAAATGTTAAAATATTCTAAGGTTACACTGTCAAAGCACTTAATGAGTTTTTATTGGTCACTTAACATTTTCATGGCGAATTGTATTAAGTTTTGCGAATACTAATACCACGTTTTTTTGTTGTTATTTAAGGGGACACGAAATTGGTGATAGTGCATATTGCAAAAAACTCGTTATTGTGTTTTGTAAGTTATATTTTACTCTTTCGTTAATATAATTTTCATCTACAATTGTTTAATATATATATATATTTAATTTTTTGTCATTATATTTATATTTTTATTATGAGAATTATTTTGTTTATTAGATGGATGTAGGTGGCCAAATCTTCTGACGTATTATCAAGCCCACCGAGAGGTCGGGGATATTTCCACAGGGGTCTATGAGTACGGAAAAAAAAAGAGTACGGGATGTATCCGATTTTTAAAGAACGTTTAAGCAAACATCATCCGCGCCTTCAATCACTTATGAATATCTGCGGCATCAATCAGAGGTGATCATGCCAAATTTCTCCGGAGTCAAAGACGGATCTAGTGGCCCTGCATATTATTTAGATTACGGCGAAAACATCACTATCAGCGAGGATACCTAATTTGTTGAATTTCACGCAAAAGTACTCGAGGGCTGTTTGCGCTAACCATTCCTAATTTTGAAGTGATAGACTAGAGGGAAGGCAGCTAATCAACACCACCCACCGCCAGCCCTTTAATAACAAATAGTTGGATTGAGCGTCACATTATAATGCTCCCACGGCTGAAAGGATGAGCATGTTCGGTGAAGGGGTTCGAACTCGCGACCCGCAGATTGCGAGCCGAGCGCCCTAACCACCGAAGTAACATGGAAAAATAAAACAATAAATTTTAGTTTCAACTGTGACTGATCACCAGACTAATTTAATTATTAATCCGTTCTAATCATTATAAGTAAGAACTGGATTAATTTTCAGTTCTGATCTATTAAGTAACTTGCTTTGGTCAGAAGTTAATAATAATTAATAACAAATTTGACAAAAAATCTCACTGTTGAAAAAAATTCATAACCAAGGTCTTTGATATATATTTTTACTATTATAAGAATAAAGTACTTGGGATATTTTTAAATTTCTCTCAAAATACTATATATTAAACCTTCAACCTAACATTACAAAACCTAATTTCTTATTTCACCAAATTTATCTTAACAAACAGTGAAAATTATAAGGAAATAGCTGATCCAAAAACATCTGAATGTTCTAATAAATGAATGCATTTTTCAAGTATGCTCTGTAAAACAAAAAGTGTTTTTGCCAAAGTTAAGTACTGAAGTGATCTGATAATTATACAATAGACCACAACTTATGTGTTATTTTAAAGTAAAACTGATTATCCTTAAAAGCGATAAGATAGGTCCGGAAATTCAACAAGATATTTATTACAGGGTAATTCCGAATTATCTGAGCCTGGTTGGCTTCGTGAGAAACAAAATGACTGGACACAAATATACAAAAATACAATAAACAATCTATATTGAAACGCAAACACAGCGTGTGTTCAGATCGGCATAAAAAAAAAAAAACGATCGACGTCATTATAGAACTGAATGTAGGCTACTTATTCTCTTTCTAAATTGTCTAGTTTGAAACCTTATCGTAGAATGTGAAAACATCATGTTACATAGCGAAAATGGTAACATCATCCTTCCCCAGAGCAGCTTGCGCCACCCAGCTGACTGGTCATTCACATAAGAAAATAAGGGATGTTATACTGTTGTAAAGCAAAGCCAAATTAGGATATCTTCTGTGTCCACCGCGGAGAATCGAACTGCGGATTTTAGTGTTGTTAGGCTGTAAAGTTACCGCTGTCCCACCAGAGGACAAGAAGGAAACAGCTATCTACGTTTAAACACTAAATACAACTTTACAACCAACCATCTCACGGGCGGAAACGGTGTTATCCCAGAGAGCTACACAGCACAATAGGTATCTAGAGTGAAAGTGACTTTCCGACTTCCTTGACCAATGTGATATTTAGAAACTGTAAAAACACTTGAATAACTGAATTTTTAATATATATACATATATATATATTTAAATAAAGAGTTAGAAAACGCATGGTATACCTACCTATTACAATTATATAAATAAAACCATTACTTAGGATGCAGATAGCCTTTCTTAATTATACAACCTTTAACAAAAATGTTTTGTCGCAAAACCTCCAAGTGAATTCTGTAATCTGTTTTATGGTAACTAATTTCAGAATCCACAATTTAATTCAAGTAAGCCTCACCTGATTTTTTGTTGTTCATCAATTCTGCATTGTTAAAGAGCAAAAGATTTTCTTTCATAAAGTCGTATTCTTCTTGGGTACATTCCCTAGGAGTAGTCTCAGGCTCAGGTTTTGGAGTTGTTGTAAGTGTTCTCAGCTCTGGTTTTGGAAGGTTAGTCCATAAGACAGGTGTATCAGTTCTCTTCCCCTCTGTCGTGGTTCCAGTAAACTTGTGGTCTTCTGTTGACGTTTCCTGTGACCCTACTAAACAGTAAGTACACATACTACTATAAGTCTGTATATTTTCCACTACTCTCCAGCCCCATCATTATATTTAGTCATAATATTACATACAAACAGTAAGGGGTCATTCGGTTTATCAAACCTGACCATGCATACCCTCCCTACTATATATATTTTATGAAATCATCGATTCACCTCTCAAACTCTTGTAAGAAGCTGGCCTTCACTACTACTAACAGCAACTCATTTCATAAGCCAGTTACCCTGTTAGAAAAATAAAACTGGAACCTAGTTCTGTCTTTTAGAAATTTTAAACTTGTGCCCTCTGGTCCTATTATCTTCAGAATACAGCACAAAGAAATTAGAGACCTTTAGCTTATCAATTTCCCAGATAATATTGATGAGTACAATAATATCACCTCTTACACTTCCTTTTTCAAGATAAAATAAGTTAAGAGATCATAACCTATCCTCATAAAATAGTCCTTCCATCCCTAGAGTCATCATAGTAGTTTTACTTTGAACCATTTTTGATAATTCTATATCATTTCTTAAGTAAAGATGTCAAAGTGTACAAGGTATTCCAAGTTAGATCTAATTAGTGATTTGTATGGTGAGATAAATTACCTCTTCTGACTTGTAATCAATATGTGCATATAAATACACCCTAATATTCAATTAACTTTACTAGTAGCATCAGAGCACTGCTTTGATGGCTCAAGTGACTTTTCGCCCTTATGCCAAAGTCCTTTCCTTCAGTTACAGTATTGAGTGGGTTCCAATTTATATTGCACATTTCACTGACTGTAAAGGAAAAAGAAAATAAATCTAATTTCTAAAGACACAGTGTGTGTATTGGTTGTTTTTAGTTATGATTAACTTAAATTATGAATTACATTCTAAAGAAACACCGTGTGTATTGGTTGTTTTTAGTTATGATTAACTTAAATTATGAATTGCATTCTAAAGAAACAGTGTGTGTATTGGTTATTTTTAGTTATGATTAACTTAAATTATGAATTACATGAATAGCATAAGATCATCTCACATTTTCTAAAAAGGGCAAAAACTAATCCCAACCTGTATGATTTTCTTTGTTAACCTTTTATGGGCTACCTTAGTAAATGCTTTATGAACCTCTTAAGTTTAAAACCCAGAGAAAATTTTGTTTGATCCTGGTGCTTTATCTATTTTTAACATCTCAATCTTTCTATTTAACGCCAAGGCATTAATATTCACATGATTCAGATCAGTTTAATATTTCCAACAAAATATACTGGGTCAGGTATATTTATAATATATTATTTTGTAAAACCAAAAGAGATCGTTTAAAAGTTCAATTATCTCATAGTCATTTCAACAAAAACCTTGCCATCAGCAACCTTTAAGGGCCTAATCCAGTTTTAGTATTTAGCTTAGCTTTACGTCATAAGGACTTAAAATGTTAATCATAAAAAACTCCATGAAAAAAAGTATTAGGTATTAGATTGTAGTGTTTCATTAAATTGTTTATACAAAATTTATTTATGAAACAAATGCATTTGTGACTTTTATGCAGTAAATATAAGCTTCTATTGTTAAAAGTATTTGACGCCTGTCTTCTCCATTACAGATGTTTCACTCTTTAAAGCTTGTACGTGTGTTTGTATTAACGATAACATTGCGAATTACGTTTGAACTTCCGACAGTGATTAACAGAAAAACCCAATTGATTTTCAAATAACTTTCTAAGTCTTTAAATATAGTTTAACATGTTTATACTAAACAAACAAAATATCATGGATTACACAACCTCTTCCTTCAGTAATTAATTAGTTTTACAACGACTGCCAAAAACAGATTTTGGTATCTCATTTTATTTTTAGGACATAACAGATTAAGAATTTCAACGTGATACCATGATGTTCTTAAGTTTTACTTTAAAGTATTATTGATGGTGGTTAAGCTAAGGTATTTACCATTAAAATTGCGTATTAAGTAGGAATACCTTTTAAAATGTAGGTCAAACTATATAGCAAAATTACACTGCTTATCTGTTCTATTTAAATTCAGTAAATTAACAAGTGGAAATATTTATACAAGACTGGTAATCGGATGTTGTTTCGCTCCGCTACACACGCAACCTGCATGAGGTAATACTGACAACTTTGATCTAGAATTGTGTGACGTCGTCTAAGTTAGACTGCAAGTTTTCGCTGTACATAAATAAAAAAAATAATAATCCAGGCACAAACAGGGATTCCCGCTATATGTCGTGATGATAAGCAGACAATTAGATTTGTTTTTGTTTGTTTGTTTTGAATTTCGCGCAAAGCTACACGAGAGCTATCTGCACTAGCCGTCCCTAATTTAGCAGTGTAAGACTAGAGGGAAGGCAGCTAGTCATCACCATCTACCGCCAACTCTTGGGCTTTACCAACGAATAGTGGGATTGACCGTCACATTATAACGCCCCCACGGCTGAAAGGGCGAGCATGTTTGGTGGGACGGGGATGCGAACCCGCAACCCGCAGATTGCGAGTCTAGCCAATTAGAGACCAGCAGCTTGTAGTTTGTGAGTGTCGGCGTTTCGATCAACAAGATTCCTGATAATATATAACCATGAATGAGTTTAAATAAATAACTCATTAGTGAAAACATCACATCAGGTGATATATAAGGAAAATTATAATTATTCTAGCTTCGTTATATATATATGAATTCAACAAATCAAAGCATAAGAAACACATACCACATTTTTCAAAGATTCATTTGATTCACACAAATAGTTGAGGATCATCCGATAAACAAACAACCCATCATTAAGTAGAAACCAGAGACAGTCAGATATTCAACCAGTAGCAAAGCCAAGGCCAGGCACGTGCCCAACCACTGCCTGAACTAGCGATGATAAATTCTCGACCTATTAAGGAACTACAGAGCAAATAAGGTTTTTGCAGTAGTGTGAAGTCTGAAGGAAGGAAGAAATAATCGACTAACTTGCTGAATCACCCGCTAGTACGTTATTAACCATACTGTTTAGCTTGTAAGATTAAATGCTCCCCTTGTATAGAACATGTAATCTGGCTAGTTGTTAATAAAATACAACCCATCATTAAGTAGAAACCAGAGACAGTCAGATATTCAACCAGTAGCAAAGCCAAGGCCAGGCACGTGCCTAACCACTGCCTGAACTAGCGATGATAAATTCTCGACCTATTAAGGAACTACAGAGCAAATAAGGTTTTTGCAGTAAGATAGTGTGAAGTCTGAAGGAAGGAAGAAATAATCGACTAACTTGCTGAATCACCCGCTAGTACGTTATTAACCATACTGTTTAGCTTGTAAGATTAAATGCTCCCCTTGTATAGAACATGTAATCTGGCTAGTTGTTAATAAAATAGTATTGCTTGGATCATAATCTGGCTAGTTATTAATAAAATAGTATTGCTTGAATCATAATCTGGCTAGTTGTTAATAAAATAGTATTGCTTGGATCATAATCTGGCTAGTTATTAATAAAATAGTATTGCTTGGTTCATAATCTGACTAGTTATTAATAAAATAATATTGCTTGGATCATAATCTGGCTATTTATTAATAAAATAGTATTGCTTGGATCATAATTTGGCTAGTTATTAATAAAATAGTATTGCTTGGATCATAATCTGGCTAGCTATTAATAATATAGTATCGCTTGGATCAGTGGCGTATGCACGGGCGGGCCTGGACGGGCCGCCCACTCAGCACCCAGGTTCACACAATCGGAGTTAGCTTGATGGTTCCCTCGTCTCAATACATCAAGGGTACTAGTAATGGCTGGAGACGGCTTGAATGGGTAATGAAGAAA